GTGTTAGGGGCCAAGAAGTGTTAACACTGATGCGGATAGATATATAGCTACACAGATGCGGCTGCAGTATGATGAGTAGATTTTATTTAAATGGAAATAATTTTGATATTGTAGTTGTTATTGTTATATAACTATTTTTATATGGATTTTTATATCCAAATCTATTCCCTTATCACAAGTTACGCCAAATAGTATTAATTAAAGGGTCAAATGTGTCCAAGGTTAACTGTGAAACTAAGTTCTTAAATTGCCAATTTGATTGAATATTAATTTCTTAAGTGCACTTACCTCATTAAGATACACGATATTACATTGTTTGTTTAATAATATTTATATATATCTATTGATATTTTCGAATCTCCAACTACGAGTTATCATTACTAGTCTATTTAATTACCTTTTATATTTTCCCTCGTTTTAATTATTTTTTAACGGAAGCATTAGCAACACGACAGGAAGGATTGAAGGGCTCGCAGAGAGTTAAAGATCAAATTATTATGGCTGCCTATAGTTAGAAAGCTGAGTGAGAGTAATTGTTAGAATTATATGTGAGAGACGTGGCTGAAAAGTAGATCATTTTAAGTCCACCACTCTGAACACTCAGTTAATTAAAGGTCACCGACACTGCAACGGGATTGTCCAAGACTTCATAAATCCCTCCTATACTCATTACAAGACACCTTTAAAAAGTTGTCTTTATTATAAATCATATATACTACTCTGTTCTTATTTATAAATCACTTATAAAGAAAAAGATTGCTTCTAAATATAAGTCATTTGTAATAATTAATGAGTTTTTTTAAATTTTACCTCTATTAATTTGATAAATGTAAAGGTAAATAAAGCAACTAACTGAGAAAAAATATAAAACATATTTTTAATGCCCTTTCTTTAATAATGACAAATATGAAAAAGCATCAATTTAATGTATTTTTTGGTTTGGGAGCTTGAGGTTCAAGTGACTTATAAATAAGAACAAAATGATATATAATTACATTTTTCGAAGATTATCTCATTAGTTGCAATTTGTATGTCGTTGAATGTACTCAATTTACTGTATTAAATTTAGATATATTTGAATTTTTTTATTTTTAAACAAAATTAAAGATTTAATAAATGAGAAGGGAGTAACTGGCTAGATTTAAGAAATAAGTGCCATCATCCACACAACTCTCCCCCTTCCAGGCTCTCTTTTATAACATATGTCCCCACGCATGTGACAACTGACAACGTTGCCTAACCCTATGACAATAAAATGACGAAAAATAAAGCAACAATTATTTAACCCTATGACTATGTTGAATAATGGAGGGTAAAGCCAATCTATATTTCCGTACCATTTATAGCAGTGGTAGAGTATCCTGAGCCTGAAATTTAACCAGGGAAGATGACACGTGATGAGGACTTTCTAAAAGGCAGTGTGGAAAAAGAAGAAAAGAAAAAAAAAATAAAACCAGCTGATTGAACTAGAAAAAGAAAAAGACTAAACCGGCTAATTCAACTAGAAAACAATGAATCAGCCAGTGATCTTGTTTGGTTGGACTACTGAACCAGCTAGAAATTGAAACTGGTGATCAATGAACCGGTTTGAATGATTATGTTACTATTGATCCTATTTTTTTCATCCAGTTCTTAGTATCCCAATCACTATAGATTTGCATAAATTTTAGTGATGATTAATTATTAATTTTAGTTATTGAGGAATCGTAAAAATAAAATTCTTAATGTTGTTTACTTTATATTATTACAATAAAATTATTATTGTATTTCCTTATATTTTGTTATTAGTGATTATTAATGTCGTTAAATTTTGTTATTTTTAATTAAATTATATTATTTTAATATGACCAATTTGATCCTGATTTGAACCCAGTCTGACCCACTAGTTATTAAACTACTATCTTAACTAGTTTAGTTTTCGGTTGGATTTTTTTTTCCCTTGCTAAAAATAAATTGCAACAAAGGATGTCATATTTGAAAACAAAATAACGCTAGCTAAATTCGCTCATAGCACTGACGGGAATTTTTGGCTTCTTGATTGACCTCCACATTTTGTTCAGGAGACGAATATTGATAAAGAATAGGGCTTGTTGCTTTCTGTTGTGCTTCTTTGGCTTTTAAGGAAGTTTCAGTGTTTAATTTAAAAAACAAAGCAAGGTTCAAACCATAAATGCAACATCTATAAATGGAAATGAGCTCAAGCCATCATCATCATTAAGCTCGCTCGTTTGCCTTTCGTGTGTGAAGAAAAGATGAGAGAATGGAAGAAGATAAATAAGAAGCGGTCGAAAACAAACTTATCGATTGAATCCAAAAATATCATTTTGCTTCACAAAATGAATGAATTAATGTCTCAAATTGACCAAATATATCATACCTACCTGTTAAGCTAGTAGGTATAGTTATTATATTTAGTGTTAAGCTGAAATACGTACTCAAAGTTCTCCAAAGTTTGAATCAGTAGCTTATTAATTACTTTCCTAATCTTTAAATTAAGGAATGTAACGTAATTGTCAAATCCCATGTGTTAGTTTTCAAATGACATTACATGTATAACAAAAAAATATACAAGAATTTTGAAAAGGCGGAGGAGTTGAAAGTGAAAACATGAAATATTTGCATCCTTCATTTAGATTTTTGAAGGTTGGAAAGGTCATACGCAACTGACCCAAAGTTTACAAAAATTGTGTGTGTATTTTAACCTTAGTTTTATTAGTTTGTTAGGTAAAGGTTGAGGTTAATAAGAGAGTGAGGGTATTGGAATAATATTACCTTCGGTCCTTAATATAAGATCAAGTTGACTAATTTGAAAAGATTAAAAAAGCTGCTAAATTACTTAATTATAGCATATAGTACATAATCTTTCTAAAATACTTATGTGTGGATCATTAGATTATATATTGTAATCATCCTTACCTTACTGTGTCCACTCAGTTAAAAAATTATCAGTCAAAGCAAGCAGTTTCCAGGAAAGGTCCTCGAGTGTAATTCCAATTGGGAAAGGGAAAGCAGATAGTTAGATTCATGGGTCATTACCCTCAAGGGTCTTGGTCTTCCACTATCAAAAGGTGCCCAGGGTATCAATGAAACCTTTATTCCTCCTTCCTTCCTATATGCTCCAAAGCTTTCATTCATAAACTGTCCCCACACGTACGCCGCCCTGAAAACACGGAAAATAAAGTAACAAAAATTTGTTTCGACGTGAAAAAGACGAGTAAATACCGTGCCATTCAAATATACACAACCCATGACCAGAATCCCAAGATAAAACTCCCATCTCTGCTCGTCGCAGACAGCCACCACTGCCGGCAGTCGGAACTCCGATCATGGCCACCGGACTCCACTCCAGTGCCAGCGGCCGGAGAATTTTTCACGAAGGTAAGTCAATATACTGATGTTTAACACTGACATGAAATGACCAGCTAAAAAAAGCAAAAGTTTGTTGTATATGTCTCCTGTTTTCTACTTCTCAATCATTAAAACATAGTCATTTACCTCTTTAAGGGGGAATTTTCTTTTCTGTGGGGGAAGAAAGTTATCATGACCGTTTTGTTGTTCATATGCTATGAAATTGTTGCCTTTACTGAATGATTTGAAACGCTAGTTGGAGTTTGGCAGATCCTCGTAAGAACCTTTTTCGTCTCTAAATAAATGGCACAAGTAATATTATGAATTGGTTGAAGGAATGCTCATGGGCGTACGTAATTCCAAATGTGTTTGTTGGTATAGTCAAGTCCTATATGGATTAGCAAGTTGAGGTGATTATATACATAGAAAACCACAACATGAAATATTAGGAGAAATTATAACAAAAACATGGTATATTCCGTTTTAATATAGAACAATATCACCGCTCATTTAATTTTGTTATTTTCTAAGTCCTTTATTTAGTCAAATTTTTATATTATCACCCTAATTGTGTTGGCAGGATTTAGATTAGTTGCGCATAATTTTAAATACTTACCCAAACATATGTTAATATCAAACTTTCGTCCGCACATTAGTACATTGATTTTCTTTCTTTTTCTTTTTTGGGGGAGTCAAACCATTAAAAACATTGAGAGAAGAGGAAAAAAAGATGCACCACAACGGTAATTTTACTTTGGAATCAATTAGTTAACAAAACATGGAAGAGTTAATTAACATCAAATTAGTAAGACTCTTAAAGAAACTTTTAGTACATTCAGAACCTTAAAATATTTTCTCAATAGTACTCAATATCCCAAGTTTAGGGTGCTCATTGCTAGTGAGAAAATATTTTCAAAGTAAAACTGCATAAAGAATTACTTTAAAATACTAAATGACATTGAAAAAGCACTTTAAGGTTCTTGCATGTACCAAAAATTAGTTTAGGAAGCTGAAGTTACTTAAAAATACTTCAAGGTGTTAAATGCAATTTAATTCTAAATCATATGTATCAAATCCTACCGTTATTTATCAGCCATTTACTTCCTAAAAATCATCGCATGTGATTGATATCCTATGAATTACTTATAAATTACCAAATGAGAGACCAAAATATTTATTAAAAATTGAAGTAAAGATACAGATATACAACAATAACTCATAGTTGGTCTCCATTTTTCAGTAAAGCATATGCCTGCTTGATCGAAATAAAGACCTTAAATAATATGTTGAGTAAATAATATCATAAAAAAGTTGAAATTGCAAAAACAAAAATATGACTATTGGAAAAAATGAAATCACAGAAATGAAGCTAGGAACCCACTTTATGCCATGGTCATATGTCACGAAGAAGGCACTACTGAATGCCATCATCATGCTTGTTATAGATATGAAGAGAGTTACCGATCCAAATATCACCTTTGAGGGAAGAGACTTGTGAAAGTCATATTCTGCATAACGTGAGATAAGGATAGACAAGAAGACTAGTATGGAGGCTGAAGATGAGATCAATGCAATAGCATCTGATATTGCAAATATCATAAATGATGGTTTCCATAAATAATTAGGGATTCCAGAACTATCATTGATGCCACCAGGTATGCTAAATGCAGCTGAAAACACTCCGGTAGCAATAAGAGTTGAAACAACCATACAATAGTTAGATGTTCTCTTCATCCATGACTCGGCATTTTTTCTCAATGATGCGTGCTCCTTGGTGAACAACTCCCGAGGAGTTTCACCATTTGAGTTTTTCATATTCACATATGATGGTAACGCTATCTTCCTTACCTCCTATCATGTCAAAAGATTGTTAAAAAAAATTAATTCATAGATATATTCTAGCCATGTGAAGCATGTCATGTTATGTAAGCAAGACGCGTACCTCAAACCATAATAGTTCAAACTTCATTTGAAAAGCTGCCCCAGACACCAATTCAAGTCGATCAGCTGGTGATAACTTTGCAGCCAAATGTAATATATTGTTTCCATCATCTTTGTCTACATATGACAATATGATATCCTTATTTGCGCTTATATGACGGATGAGATTGAAGATGTTAGGATGACGATGTGAAACAGCAATGTGAATTATGCTTCGCTTTTGGCTGTCCAACTCCCATACCAAATCAGGGTAGGATCCCAGAAGCTCGGCTATCCAACTTTTGTAGCATCAAATAATAGTCGTGATGGCTCATTTATGATCCTTCTTATATCTTGCTTTGAGTTTACAAGCTTGAGAATTCCTAGCCAGAGGGAATGAACAAGTTGAAGAGCAACACCGTTCTTCATCCCTAGGATACATGATGATTTGACTAAGTTAATGTTAAGCAATATGTTGGGGCAGTCTGTGATTTTAGGCATAATGTACAAACTAAATGTAATGATTATTAGAAAAACATATTGATACATATAGCAAGTGTAAAGACTAATTTTCTAGTCTTCGTAACAAGTAATTACAGTGGCTAATTATTACCTGAACTTATTAGTTTATTCTGATGTCCTAGACTATGATGACCCGAATCTCTTGTCTTCTGAGCCATGATATGCAAACCCGTCAAACCTCGTTCATTTGTTGCTAATGCAACTTCTGGCTTATCTCCCAAAACGCTAAATCTAAGAAATTTCAGAATGTAGTCAAGAAACGCATACATAGATACTAAAAATAGATGCTGTCACACAATGTAATAAGCAATATAAAGCTATATATACATATATATATATATATCAAGCTAAGAAACTTTGCAGAACAGGTTTTGTATTATATATTTAGTATGCATCAAATATGAACTTACCATAAATACCAGCGTCGATGCAAGTGAGGAATAACTTATTCCACTCTGCTTCATCGAAGGTTTCGAAAGTCTTAGGATATAAATACCATGCCACATCAGCTCTTCCTTGCTGTGCAGCAAAAAGAAGAGGGGTGAAACCATTTCCACCTCTAATTTTTGGCAAGAAGGGGTTCTTTTCCCACATTAACTTAACAATATCCAAGCTTCCTGCTGCTGCAGCAAAGCAGAAGGCAGTGTTTCCCCTAGAGTCTTGTAAATCCAAGTCATTCTCGTCCATCAAGTTCACAAGCTCCTTCACAAAGTGAAAATGGCCAGCTCCTGCTGCTACATGAAGTGCTGTTGGATGCCCTTTTGCTATAGCAGCATTCACTAGCATTCTGTTATGATCTAACAGCATGGGCTTGGCTTTCTCCCAATTGCCTTCTAATGCATATTTGTAAAGAGGTACGCATAAGTTTATGTAGTTCAATCTGGCCTCCCCTGAAACAAAGTTGAAATTTTTCGGTTTTTTGGGTGATCAGCTTTAACTTGAGTGAGGTAGAAGAGTAATTAATCTTGCATAGATTTCTAACCCTCATGGCGTATCTGATCTGTTGGAATAACAAGTTTTTTATTAAACTAAAAGTTTGGATGATGAGTTAAGTTTTGAGAGTTCACCAAGAACATAACAAGCCTCACTGTTCAAAACGTATTTACGAATTACGTACCACCAAGATCCTAATTTTAGATATAAGACTTGAAACCAAGATGTCATGCGATATGAGCCAACAAGTATTAATAAATATACCAGTCTGTATTTGATATCGGAACAACGTTTGTTCACAATTCGGGGGAGAAAGTAATTTTCAAAAAGAAAAAAAAACACCAACAGTGGGAAAAATAGTAAAGAAATTACTTCATTTTGTCCTAATTAAGTCTTGCAATTTTGAAGAAAGAAGCCCATATTCATCAGTGACCAGCCACCTAACTATATATGGAATTACATGCATTTATACTTTATTAGGTGAGAGGATTCCATCATTTTCCTCGCCACAATTGAATCAAAATTTGGAAAAATTAACAGGAACCACAAATAAGTGAACACATCAGTTTTTTTCCCTAAAAAATTTACTTGTATCCTCCAAAAGATGAAGGGAAGGCCTCCTAAAATTAGCTGAATCAACCCTCTGTATAAATTGGATGTGATTAGGCCCTTCAGGAGTATCCATTGGATGTTCATTTGGCACATCCATTTATCTGCAAAACCATACACATTAACACTCCCCCAGCTTTCTATGCATTTGTATTGATTTCTGCAAAACCATACACATTAACAGAATTATACTGTTCATTATTTATAAATATTTCGTGATCATAACTTTGCATATACTCTATATATTTTGCATATTTTGTACTGTTTTGTTTATGGCTTATCAACTTCTAAATATATATGACATCGATATATAATAAAAATATAAAGAAACAAAGCACTTTAGTACTCTAGATATTTTACATATTTCTCATGAATGATGATTGTCATGGAAGAGACTATTCTCAAGATTATGATTAACTAAATGCTTGTGTTTCCATTGATATAAAATATTCTCATATTAAAACTTATGATAATTATTATGAGAAATAATGTTATCTTTTAAAATTCTAAATGAGTTAATAAAGTAAACGGGACACAATTGCATTCACAGTTCGTAGACACTATGATACGGATGTTGGGATGAATTATTCAATTATTGATGATGAAAAATTAATTAATTGTGTTGACGTTGAAATTAAGCAATTTCAAGGAAGCAGCTTTGGTCCCACTGATACCTTCCGAACCATTCGTTTTTGTGGTTGAGCATTATTCTATCTTATTGGTGGAGACATCTCATCCTCCAAAATATTAATTTCATCTGCAAATGCTCTTTATCAAATTGTTCCATGAATACATATATATATTTGTTATATTCTAAACATAAAAGTTAAATAATTAATTTTTAATTTTCTTAAAACATCTCCTTTAATCCTTTTTTTTCCCAACAAAATATCGCCTTTAATCATTTGCATTGGAAACAATCCCTATTGATGAAACTTCCTTTAGAGATAGAATATGGGGGAAAATTATAAATTTGACGAACAAAGTAAATTAAAGTCTTATATTTAAAAATAAAGTAAACATTTCCACTAACTTATAAGGATTAGGAAGTATTACATATAAACTTAAAAATTTTAAATAATTTAACCATCAAGTATTAATAAATCATGTATTTCTTGGAATTAAAAAAAAAATCTGCATAATCTGGCAAAAAATTATACCTGGTTGTCGATGGAAAGAGGAAATCTTCCTCTTGTGGCACTTGCCTATGAAAAACCAGCTTCTTTAGTCAAACAGCTATTTTCCTTTTGGGGGGGGGGGGAATTGAATATCAACGAATCTTGGATTGTATGCATAGAAAATAAGATTTGAATGATTTGAATCATATTTGAACAGAGGAGTTGGCGCCATCCTTAATGAAATTATAAGGGTAAACCAGAAAGAAGAAATAGTAGAATCAATGAAATAATGAAAACATTAACTGAGGAATACGCAGACACACCAATCACAGAAGAAGAACAAGAAGATGAAGCGACACCTGTAAATGAAGGATATAGAGAAAGAAGAAGGTTAAAAAGAGATCTTATTTTATCTTATGGAATCGCTTTATTTGTTCTTTGCTTGTAGAGTGAGATTGCTTGATCCTTTTGGAGTGAGATAAAATTACTGTAAGGTTTACTGAACCAACTAAGAAACACAGTGATGTGAGAGAACTTGCGAGGGAAGTTCTTCTTCGTCAACGTGAAGTATTAAGTCAATTCAAATGATTATACTAATAAACAACGTACAGATTTAGAGACCGACCCACAACATCGTGTTTCCATCCTTATCATCTATTTAAATAATATGAATTGAAGTAATCAAATTTCTTGTCCTTGATGATAGTAATGAAGAATAGACTTCTACTTCTATCTATTATACTAGCTAAAAATCAGACATTACCTATTATCATCATTAGAAAGCTAAATTTAAACCAATGATTTGAGTTTAGTGCTAGTCTCTCGTAACTTTGACGAATTAATGTTTAAATTTCTATGAGGAGAAGTACTCACATTTAAAGTCTAATAGTATTTCGAATAGGATTATTTTAATAGAAGAATATCTATAAATAACCAAAAAAAAGCCAAATTAAAAAAAAACTATACAGGTTTTTAGGTTCAACACTGTCCAGTTAATCGGGTTTGAAAAAGAAATTGGCCAAATTTAATATAAAAGAGTTTATGGGCTACAGCTCATATCAGACCGATCCCCTATGGGTCATACAGCCCATTTTGATAGCTCTGCATGAGATAGGAGAACCCAAAAAAAAAAAAAAAAAACAGATGTCAAATTTTGTCGTGAAAACTGAAAAGAGATAAAAGATGTTTGAGATTTTAGTTAAAATAGCATCAGAGTCAGTTCAGGATCCGTTTAATTTGGCCATTTTTCTTTTGAAACAGAGAAAATAAAAGGAAACGAAATCATGAACATTTAAAGATATAAATGATAATAAAAATAAGCAAGAAGTGGAGAGCACGAGGTGAGGGAATATATAATCCCTCCTCAAATATCACTTTCGCATACTTTAAAACATTAGAGCAGCCACTGGAATAAAATATTTAATGGAAGCAATAGGGACACATTAAGACTTGAAGGGCTCGAGGAGTGGGGGAAGCGCGCGTGCACAATTTTATTTTCCTTAATTTTTAATTAAAAGAACAGACATTGATTTAAGCAAGATCAAATAGAAGATTGTTAATGTCACTGGGCTACAAGTTATTTGGCGATTTTATTTTCCTTTTGAAGGGCAAAGTATAAATTCTTCACACAAGACAAGAGCATGAATTCTAGCAGCACCCATACAATGAATGGCACAAGTCAGTGTAACCATACACAAAAATTTCAAGAGGAAACAAGAAGGACAATGCACAGCAGGTGAAGAACGAACTGTTATTCGCTTTAGATCTACTTCAAAAATTAATCAAGTTAATGCAATATAGTGTACGATCTAGGTCGTATTCACTTTAAGGAACCTCTAAAAAGAAATCCTAAGTAACTAAGTATACAAAAGATAAAGAATTGACTTGGAAAGGGATTGATTTTCTTTTTAACTAACTGAATGGCAAAATTTAAAAGGATGGGAAAAGAATAAGTCA